CACGGATTCCTTTCCCCATACAGCGATCAGTTCCAGTACTTCCCATTCGGTCCATGCTGGAGCTCTTTTGCGGTTCTGGGACTCCATGGTCACCTGTGCTGATGAGATCTGCACGGTCACCTCTGAGCTCGCCATACTGGCCAAACAGGAAATGAAATTCAAAAGTTTGCGGAACTTTTCCTGTCTACCTGGCCAGTGCATCTGAGTTGAGAGCGCTGTCCAGAGCAGTCACAATGGAGCACTCTGGGATAGCTCCCAGAGGCCAATACCGTCGAATTGCGTCCACACTACCCCAAATTCGACCCAGCAAGGTCAATTTCAGCGCTAATCCCCTCGTCGGGGAGGAGTACAGAAATCGATGTTAAGAGCCCTTTAAGTCTATAAAATGGCTTCGTCGTGTGGACAGGTGCAGGGTTAAATCGATCTAACGCTGCTAAATTCAACCTAAACTCGTAGTGTAGACCAGGGCTTAATCTCTAGAGGCATTACAGCCCTCAGAATCCTTGTTTGTTCTGGAATTATCTCTTTAAACACTTCAACGTACAGCAGTTATGTCTGAACCCAGCACAATAAGGCTCTGCTACTGCAACCAGAGAAACCGAGGGATAGTCAATGATACTGCTTTTATATAGATTTAGTCATTTATATTTGACACCACCACCAAACCCCCCATCCCCAGCAAAATCTTCCATTTCACTGACCTTCTCCAAAATCGTAAGGCCTACCCTCTGCATAGTGGTATAATCAGCATGGACAAGAGTCATTTGCATTAGAGTGGGTTTGGAAACTTGTTTTGCAGGTTTTCCCAAAAATGCTAAAACCAGTTCTGTCCATGTGGAATTTGTATAGAGAACCTTAGATAGTGTTCCATTATGAATTTAATATGTTGGTTGTCTGACCTTACACAGTTGCATAATTGTTTGAAAGGTCAGACTGCCTTTTTTTGTTTTCTGTTAAATAGAAAAAATATCTACAAAAGTATAGTTTGTAATGCGTATGTTACGTTTGTATGCTATGCTGTGAAATGACCTAGGTTTCATCTCTAGACTCCTTATAGGGGACAACATTTTGTTATAAACAATGCAAAATATTACATTTGCTTCTTGTTTGTTGTGCTGCTGCTGTTTAATCCTGTAGTTTGTTTTGAGAATGTACAACAATATGTTAGCACATGGAATATTATTATAAATGAATATCTGATTGACAAACATATTAAAATTTACCACAATTTCTCCTGTATAATATGTTGAGTTATTAGGGTGTGGGGGGTTAAATTGAATATAAAGAATATTAAATAAAAGGCCTATACTGCTTTTATGTAAGTTACTGTAAAGACTACCGTCATCTTTAATGGGGACAGAATCAGGCCCCAAATCATTAATACAAGGGCAGGGTTGGTGGTGGTTGGAGAAGATAATCTAGCTGGAATTGGGTCATAAGATTTTTCTGTAAAGTAGTGGACTAAAAACTGGACTTCTGTCTTATTTAACAAATTGATGTTTCGCTTTTCATTATTATTAAACTGTTTTCAATTCCTACCGCAAGTCTTGACTATTATTATTTTTTTTGCCTTTTTTCTAGAGCCTCGGAGGTATTGTGATGGCAGCATCTTGGAATTTCATGAGAGTAGTTCATTATTCCAAAACTGTTTTGTCACAGGGAGTCCAGATAGGAGGAATCACCAGTGATTTGGGGCATGCCTTGTCCAGGACTATAACTTCAAGTTTTGTTGCCAAAACACCCACATCAAATACAGTGGAACTGCTTGGTAAAGCATACCCTCGAGATGACTACAGCAATGTCACAGAGAAAATTCTCTCCAAGGTGGGAAAGAACTTGCACAACCAACGATACCACCCTTTGTGGCTGATCAAAGAGCGAATAAAGGATCATTTTTACAAGCAGTATATAGGACGCTTTGGGACCCCACTCTTTTCTGTTTATGATGATCTGTCCCCGGTGGTTACAGTGGAGCAGAACTTTGACAGATTGCTTATCCCACAAGACCACCCCAGCAGGAGGAAAGGGGAAAACTACTACATGAATCACATTCACATGCTAAGAGCACATACGTCGGCTCACCAGTGGGACTTGATGCACTCAGGGCTGGATGCCTTTCTAGTTGTGGGAGATGTCTACCGCCGCGATACGATTGATAGCAGCCACTACCCAATCTTTCACCAGATGGAAGGAGTGCGGCTCTTCTCCAATCATGAGGTAGGAACTATTCACAATGCTTAGCATGACTCTAACAAGCAAGGAGTTTCACGGGTCCCTCCATTTGGCTAGTATCACTTTATTTGTACTGTAACTGCAGCCTGTCAAGGAATTTCCCCTTTCCAAAGGGTTATTGTTTCTAGCCCTCATAGACTGCAAAATGATGGGCCTTACAACCATGCCATGATGACATATGGAAAAGCTATATTAGGCAATTTGTAGAGATTTCTAAAGTGTATTATTTATAATATTTTCCTCCAAGGCTGTTCAGTTTTCCTTTGTGTGCCAAAGGAATCTTATTTTGGCAAAGGAATCTTGTTTTACTGGTGAAGAGGTTAAAAAATCAACCCAATGTCGACAAATATTTTAAAGAACATTTCTAAATATAGTTGTTTCTGTAAAATATGTGGCATACACATGCCAGCTTGGTGTGGTATAAAGATTTTATCAAAACTGTCTTGGAATAACTCGCAACTAGAATTTTAGTTTAATTTTTTTTAAAACAAAAAATGGTCTTTTTAAAAGAAAAATCATGAAAATCTTTTTTTAACCTTTCTGTTTTAGTTTATGGTTTTCAATGTCAGGGTTTGGAGTATTTTTTTTTTTTTTCGTATTTCCAATTTTGATTAGTCAGCCCAGTCACATGGTAGAGTTTTTCAGAACTGAAACAATTAGATAAAAAGTTTTGATTTTGAAATAAATAATTCCTTTTTCAAACATTCAGATTTTTTTAAATAGAAAAATTCATAAAAAATCCACATGAAATTTTGAAAAATGAAAAAAAAATCCTATTTGAAAACTAGCAAAATGAAATGGTCTTTGGAAATAAAAAATAAATAAATAAAGGAGAGCAACTAGCTTTACTTACGACCTGCATAACTCAGTTCATCCATGCCAAACCCATGTTGAGAACATCTTTTTACCATCCGCTTTGTTTCATTCACATGCTCAATATGTCAGTAATTTAGGGCTGTAATTGTTACAGCTAAAATTGAAATGCATTTTCTGTTCTAACCATCACCTTTTCTGAGTTGCTTCTAACTTTCTCAGAAAAATTCCTTTTGTACTGTAATTTTCTATTCCTAGTCTCGTCCCAAAGCCATGTTAAGGATGGCTCTGTACAGCTGACACTGCTACAAGCTTGTGATGCTTATACAGTAAGCTCAGCAGGGCGCAGAAATGCCAGTCAGCAAGCCTTTAGCAAATGTCTGAGATTCCTGAGTTTATATATATTCACTG